ACCCACTTGATACTACCCTGCCTCAAGGCAATGAAAAGGAAATATGGATTATTTTATTTTCTAAATATGACTGGCCCCTAACGGCCACCCCAATCCAAATTTTCTGCAGGCACCACTGGGAATAGCAGCCATAGGAACGACTATTAAAAAACAATTCACCGTGAAGTACACACTGATAAGCTAAACGTACCTTGCGTGTCAAACGATTTAAATCAATATTATTTACATTTTTTTTAATGCAAGAGCTACTTCGCTTAGACTGTCACCGCAATCTATTTACGACGTTTATCGTGCTGTCACATAAACCAACACATTTACGTATTTTAACATGCTTTAAGGGAATGTCAGTCTTTCATGCAGAAAGCACGCAGCTGTGTTCTGCCTGAATACGATCATTACCTTAATCGCATGGATGTCAGGCTCCAGCAGGAGCATCCTGTGTATCACCATGAACCTTGCCCTTTTTAACGTCATCATAAGTCTATGCTGGAGAAAGGGCCGCTTATTACGGACTCAGAAACTCATCAGGGCCAGACAACAGCCCTGTTAAAAAGAGAGAGAAAGTGCCATTCTGTGTTTTTCCTCCCTGGCCCTGACATGCGCTGAAGCCTGCAGCTGAATTAAGCTTCATTCCTTCATATACTGTACACACATCCTACTAAAGTATCGCTAATTCCCAGCTGTGGAATATCACACATTTCCTTTCATTGTGCGGTTTACGGTTCATGTGATAAGATGCGTACGCTTAGTTCCATAAGCCACTTTTACAAAATTTCTGGAATAAAAACACGTCAAAGCTTTGAAATTTGTGAAAGTTTTTTTTAAAGCATGCACGGACTAGAATTTTATAAACTCACTACTGAGTTGTGTGAATAAAGCCAGTTTATGATGATCGCATCGGATACACGCAACTACGCTGATTAGCAGTCATGAAACCTAAGTGTACCGATTAAGATTGCTTTCATTAAAGTAAAGAAATCCGGGGTTAAACCCTCAGATCCATTTGCTGTCCGCCCTAAACGGGACAGGGGTGAAATCTGTCCCTTATTAAGTTTTTGCGGGCTTACAGCCGGGTACTGCCGCAATCACGGCTAGTGGTAAAAAGAGAGAAACACTAGAGTAAAGCCAAAAAACGCGTGCATATTTCAAGAAAAGACCCAGAAAAGTAGCAGCAACATCACCGTAACCTTCAGCCATCTCAGATATTTGATTAAGAGGAGGCTGTAGTGTGGGATCACCCCTTCGGCTGTCTCTTTTTTTGCTTTCTCCTAAAAAGCGCCATATTGCCAGCCGCACCGGTCTTAGGATTGCAACACTGTATCTGAATATCTGCAAGCAACAACAGAGCAATACATTATAAACACATCTTACCTTTGCAATCGCCTTTTTGTATCTCATGACGGCTTGCTGAATAAGACAGTGCACTTTAATATTTCCATCTCCACACGGGACCACCACCCTGGTCCTCCCAAAACAAACTGTCACTTTCATACTTAAAATCTCCGATGTATTTTTCCCCAAATCCAAAGGCAAAAAATTAAGGTGCCGTGTTACTTTTTACAGCCCCGACTGCCATTAATTTCCTGCTCCAGGACTGTACTCCGAGAAGAAAATACAACACCAAGATGCTTCATCTTTCCACATCGTGGACGGTTTGGAGACGTGTTCTGACCACCTGTTTAAGTTTCTTTTTCTGGGAGTCAGATCCAGTGTGTATTTTTCCGGAGACTGCACGCCATTGAGTGTGGAGAAAGCGCCTCCCCAGCTCTGGACACCACGAGGTCTGACTGGGGGAGTCGGAGCTCCGCAACTTCAGCTCGGAGAGGGAAGGCGAGCCTGAGCCGCTGAGCTCCAGAGCGGGGGTGGGGTGGGGATGGAGGAGGGAAGGGGCGGGGGGGGGGGAGGGTGAAGGGGTCTCCTCAGACGCTAACAGGCGAAAATCATGACTGACAATTAATAAAATCTGCACCGGCACCGCGACCTGCCGGAAGGATGTGTCCGCTGCTGTTCCGCTTTTATAAAAAGACACTAGCCAAAATCAGTACAGCAGCTGATATGTGTGAGGTTTTCGTATCACTAGCCGGGTGTATAACAAAATATATAATTAAAAGTTATTTTCAGTTAACTGTAGCATGAGGTTAGGTGGTGAATCGGAGAGGAGGGTGGGAACTAGGAATCAAAAATAGCAAGTCCCTTTAAGTGGATGACGGTCTAATATAAGCATTCTTTTTCATCAAGTTCAAATGTGGAGTTTAATGCAAATCATCTAGCCTTTTCTGTTCAACTCTCCTCCCATGACTATGCTGCACGTCCGTGCTTTTTCCACGGTGCCCGATTCTAACCTGATTTGAGATGTAGATCGCCGTCTTATTCATATGCATGCATACCCACCGATCAATTAAGATCAGGAATCGCGTTAAAAGGAATGAATGCAGAATCAATCCTGTTATAGCCCAGGTCCCCAGGCGCTGCCTTACTGTCATACATAGATCGGTGTCTGTGCGGTAAATCACGTGTAAACAAACGAACGTGAACGAAATTGTCCGCCTTTACTGCTCATCTGCGCTCAGTTATTGTAATTCTCAGCTGTAAGTATTACACAGTAACCTTAAACGTTCAGAATGGTTTGATGTAAGCTCAGCTGAACACGAGTCAGATAAAATGTGATTTGGAGATCTTCAGATACTCAGATTCAATCAAAGCAGGCAGTACACGTTTTGGCACATTAATGTATAAATTCCATCGATTCCCTCCTTCAGTGAAAATGACAGGTCGCTTGCAGCGGCGGACTGGCTGCAAAATCAGCCAGGGAATTTGCCGTCACGTGCTGCCGACCGGGGAGGGGGGAGTGGTCCCCCTTGGTATATTTTGCGATCATATAGGTTATATCATATTATGGCGGCCTTGGGATAGGACAGATTGGCCCACGTTAGACCGGGACATCGGGAAAATTCCCGAACTTCCAGATATTCAGTCGGCGCCCGGATTGTTGGGTGGATGTTCTCCATCAATGACACAGGCACGTGAGACACACCACGATGATGTAAACGATTCATCAGACATGAAGAGTTAATCAAGATGCACACAAAAGCTCCAAATGTATCCGTCACTCCCCAGGGACACTTTCTATGGAGAGGGAACGACACAGGAAATTAAACATAACAATGACGGGGCTACTTTTAAAAATATTTCTGATTTTTTTTTTCCTTTTATGGACTTTGTAAATGGCAATTCCTTCTTTGGAGAAGAACATTTGAGGAAGACATGGCATACATTATATCCAGTCCTCCAGTAAATGTACCTTAATTAAATGCTGCTTGAGAATTTCTCAGGGCACAGCAAGGACCTGACGATGGTAGTTATTACTGTGGTTTCTGCTTCTGGTTCCACAGTTTCTCTGTTTTTTTTTCTTTCATTCCTGAGGAATCGTGTAAAATGCGAAATTAAAAGGGATGATTAGTTAACGCGGTCCAGCTTCCCCGCGACCCAGATGGATAAAGCGGTATGGATAATGGATGCATGATTAGTTAGGGCAGTGCTTCCCAACATGGTCCTTGGTCCACATTTTTGCTCCCTCTCACACTGTCAGAAAAAAAGAGTATGGATTTGTACCTTTCCTTGTCACTGGGGCTGTACCCTCAAGGGTCTGCCAATTGTACCTTTAGCTATAGGTAATTGTAACCTTTAAGGTACAGAAATGGACTATATGAGGAACATTTCTGTACCATTGAGGGTATATTAATGTTGTTTGTACCTTTTGGGATGCTCTTCAGAGTCCATTTGGACTCTGCTAGGGCACAACTGGCAGACTCTTGAGGGTACAGCCTCGGTGACAAGCAAAGGTACAAATTGGTGCCCTTTTTTCTGAGAGTGCAGCTTCCTATACCGGGAGCTGGGAGGGAGACAAAACATGGACTGTCTCAGGGACCGGATTAGGAAGCAATGGGTTAGCGTCTGGCTTGAGTTCCTTGGCGGCTGCTTCGGTAATGACATCCCACTCAGAGGGCATCGTGGGCCCCTAAATCTCATCTCCCGAGTAATATCCTACAAAGCTGCCTGCCGGAACATAAGCCAACCCAGAACTCTGATGAGGACGCACACTCAGACGAGCTCTCTCTGGGTTAGCGGCATCGATTTTACCGAGCTGTCATTCCTCATTCCACGGCTCTCGGTCCAAAAGCTGTCGGGCCGTCAATAGAGCCACTGCGGGGTTTGCAGTCTTGGGGGGCAGCTACTTCTGATGGCATGGGCTGGGTAAGACGCAGACCAGCGGCACGAGGCTCAGGACCTCCTCACTGGTCAATCTGGACCAGTCGGTGGAGCATCCATATCCGTTCCTACAGGATGTCGTTCACCACGGGGTTTATCCACTTGTCCAAGCACAAGGCCCAGTTATTCATTATATACCATGTGGGTGACTTGGGGGGGGGAGAAGAGGAGGCCCCCTCGCCAAATTTCACCAACCGGGAAATTTTCCCAGGCAGCAATTGGGCTGGCATCCCTGTGGCGAACTGTCCTTCCCTGCCATGGCTCTGCGGCCCAACCGAGCCCACTGGCAGCCGGCCCCCGGGCCAGGACCAGTGGTTCAGGAACCCCCGCCTAACAGCTAACAGACTGCTGGCAGAATAGCTAATATGCTTAACGAGACGGTAATTGAATTTCTGCTTAGCCGAAAAGCATCACTCGATGTGTCATCTGCGGTTGACATTTTATGAGTCGTTCTGTTTTTGTTTGCTTTTTTCTGGCAGCCCGGTTGTGTGGTCAGCCTGTAGCGTTTTGGTCACATGACTAGTTCCTAGCCGCAGCACGACTTGCTGTCACAACCATGATATATATATATATATATATATATATATATATATATATATATATATATATACGTATATATACACATACAAAGGGAAGGTGCTTTACAAACAACGGTATAGATTCAAAGGCACGAGTCAAAATAATCAAAACCTATTCAACAATTTTTTAATGATCTTACACAGAAACTCCAATAAACGTGTAAAATATGACGTAAAGCAAACGAACTGTCTTAAATCACAACATTAAATACAAGCTATAATCCCTATATTGACAGGATAATGCTTGCCACCTAGTGGTGATCTTGGGAGTAGCATATATTTAAGGCTTCATTCTCCAGGATGGGCGGTAGGTCGCTCTGCCGCCTCGCGCCGCTGACGCTAGACTCCGATTCCCGTCTCCACAAGTTTAGAGTTCGCATGGTCTCGTCATGTTTCATGGGTCTTCTCCTCATACTCTGGGTGCAAGGCTAGGTCAGTTTTCATATCTAAATTGTTCATGATGTAAGAACTGGCGTCCCACACGGATCTTGTGCGGATCTTAGGGTGATATTAGTTTGTGTCTATAGAACAATATCAGTGGATTCAAAGGTCACGTCATAGTCTTAAAGGTACATTTCCAGTAAACTGGACATCGTGTCATAAAAAAACAGTATCAATAATACGTTTACATTTTAGGAAAAATCTCTGAAAATATCGATGGTCTTGACAAACAAGAGCGTTTTTAAAAGAAAACTAATAAGGACAAAAACAATAAAACTGTAGTAGGCTTATTTCATATGTTTTCTTATTTCGATGCATAAAAAATGAATAGAAAAGATAAAGATAATAGATGCATGTCCAAAATCACATTACCGTCCGTTTCTTTTCAGTGTAAGAGTTTAAATTCTTCTTCATTCACTCGGGTAGCTACATTCAATGGCCGGGACGCGCTTGGCCTGTCACTGGTAATGCTGTAAGAAGCAGAAAATCTCGGTCTAGCTGTAGGGCTGGTCGGGAGGGCAATGTCCCGCTGCTGGCCTCTGCTTTGTCTCATACGTTAATAAACGCCTTCTTTATCACGTCAGTGCTGGGGCTGAATCAGGTTTCTGGGCGGCCAATGACCTGCGATCGGGACGGAGATGCATGAGCAGTTTGTCCAGGAACATCAGGGCTGCAGCCGCACAAAACAAAAATCTTGCCCAGGGGAAAAACACCCATTCAGCCTGCGAAGTTAGTCAGAGACAGCGCTTACTGTTTGCACAATCTTCTGCTGATCCTTCTTATACAAATGGCTGCACCTCTGCAAATTCACAACATGCCTTTTTAACGTGCGGTTGTTTTTGCAGTAACAGCTTGGAAACAGGACGATTGAGGGGAGATTTTCTCCTTAACACACAACCTCAATGTGAAGAAAAAATGGTCCAATTTAGAGAGAATAAATGAAGTCTCGATCCCCCCAGTCTAACCTTACGGGTGTGTTAAATTCGAACTACATACATTAGTGGCCAAAATTGTGGCAACGCTTCCAATTTTTAGAGATTGCAGAACTTTATCCAGTTACTCCAGTATGATATTTGTAACATTCTTTTATTGTTTATAAACATTACTGCCAATATTCGTGTAGTAATTTTTAAAGCATAAAGTTAAAATTAGATGTGTTTCCTCAGTCTTGGCCACTTGTGTAATACCATGTTTTTTTAACGTGTATAAAACAGAATACAATTATCGAAAGTGATTTTCCACATTCACATCACGGAGTGATTTTTGCAAATGAACTACCATCTAAAGTCTGTAACACTGTGGCTGAACCACCAACGGAACAGCCTGTAAGTTCCTTTTCACAGGCTGAGTGCGTAATTTTGGTTGTGACATTGTCTCGGTGACTCGGCAAACGAGTGTCCAAGCAGATCCGCCTCCAGACATTCACGTACGTTAAACGTGAGCGCCGACCTCCACGTGACCAGACTGACACCCTCTCCACCCCAAGACGTGCTGCAATAAAAAGGCTTCTGGAACATTCCTGAAATGATTCCCAGCCACCAGCTGGAAAAGCTCCCCCCCCCTAGTCCGACGGCTTCTACACAGTGTTAAAACTCCACCGGCAAAGGCACCGCCTCAGCTAATATACGGAGCTGCTGTCAAATGGCATCTAGCTCTTCCTCTGTCATTCATTTCACAATTGTTTCAATTGTATACGTTTAATTAAATTTAGGTGTAATTGTAACAAGCCAGTTGGTGGACCAAATCAGGGCGTCATCCAGCATGATGATGTCATCTCTCAGTGACCACTGCATTCCATTTCAAAATGAATAACAGAGGATAAAATCACAATTTGAGATGTTATGATTGGAGGCAAAGCTAGCTCTTGCTATAGGCAGAATAGGCAGTTGCTTAGTGCCCCTGAATTACCTGTGCTGTGAAGTGAAATGATTATCAGTTTTCTTGGTAGCCTTCCAGTCTATGTTTCTGATGTAAACACACACATACATACACACAGACACACACACATACATACACACATATACACACACAAACATACACACAGACATACACACAGACACACACACAGACATTCACACACACACACACATAGACACACACAGACATACACACACACAGACACACACATAGACACACACAGACAGATACAGACACATACATACACACAGACACACACAGATACACACATATACTGTACACACACACACATACACATACATACACACAGAGACACACACACACACACACAGACACACACACACACACATTTATGATTGCCACCTGTCCCGATTTTCCCAGGATTGTTCTCTTTTTTTGAGCAACTATCCCAGGAAATTAATATTTTTTCCCGGGACACAATTTTTTAACTGTACCTGTATATACACACATACAGTAACTGCACGGGCTGTCGATCTGCCGTACACATCCACACATCAAAGAAAAAGTGATTCACAACGTACAACTCAGCGGGGGTGAAAAGATAAAACTTGTCTGAATGGAAAAGGCACAACCAAGGAGACTTGGAGGATATTGCACAAAGTAGAACGAACTTGCCAGTTAGCTGGATAACCTAAGCCAAACTTGAAAATTGTCCAATAGGAGGGGAGGTAAGTGACCTTCCTTTTGGACAATCCTTATATTTGGCTTAAGTTATCCAGCTAATGAAAAAAAGACTGCTTTGTGGAATACCCCCCCAGCCCCTCCCCGTTCTCCATCACTCATGTTTTGTGTCCATTCAAAATTTCAGTTAAACATGAAGGAAGAGCAGCACTGGAAAACCATGAAAATACAAAGTAGCACAGTTTTGTATTAACCAAATGCAAAAATACAAACAAACAAACAAAAACTAACAAAAACCAGACAAATAACTTTAAATGATCATGCTTATCATGAGTTTAAAGCATTTCATTGAGGGACAGCAGGGACTTCTGCAGGTAGCAGGAAGGGAGGAGAAATGCACATGGAAATTAGGTGAGAAATGTCAGTGTTATGTTGTCCATAGTCATTCATTTAAAAGGTTGTTCATAATTTATTATAATACGTATAGTAATGTTTTCATAGCTAATGGGGGTACACCTTCAGACATATTAGGGTTTATAATAGAATTTATAATAGATTACAATTAGACAATATATATTTACTCATTAAAGAAAAAACGTTGTATTTAATGTAGAAATGGACAGCAGCAGACAAAGGTGTGAGCAGACAAAACAGTGTGAGTGTCCCGTTTAAAACGTTGTATTTAACGTAGAAATGGACAGCAGCAGACAAAGGTGTGAGCAGACAAAAGTGTGAGTGTCCCGTTTAAAACGTTGTATTTAACGTAGAAATGGACAGCAGCAGACAAAGGTGTGAGCAGACAAAACACTGTGAGTGTCCTGGTTTAAACAAATCAACCCAACACGCATCGCTATTATTCTTAAATTATTTTATTATTTTCTAGCGCTTACCATAAGTTTGAGAACCACTTCTTTAGATCATTTTAGACAGTCCGCAATGTTTTTAAACTGTAGCAATCGATTGTTATCCACACAGCCTAAAAAAATTATGATCAACGCCGCTACAGTTTGCAACGCCTCCTTCAGTGCCATATGCACGCGCGTGTGTGTGTGTGTGTGTGTGTGTGTGTGCGTGTCGAATGTTGAATGACTCAGTATTATCGCTTATCCCGATGTTTTTGAAGCACAATATCTCATATTATTTTTTTTGCCATCGCCCAGCCCTTCTTTCTCTTCACCGCGACCTGAGGTCCACTTGGCTCGATCTCCCTCATGCTGACACTGAAACGTCCATCTTTTCTTTTTTTCCTTCCACTGATCTGCGAAGCCCGTCATGGCCACCATTTCTAAATGCGCCCCCCCTCTTACCGTCTCCCGTTGAATGACTATTAAACTGTCTTGGTCACAGGCTCATTTCGCCTGCAGGTAGGTAGCATTCACATTTATATACTTAGAAGACACTTCTCCAACCTCTGGGCCTTGAGGACCAGACCCGAGTTTCAGCACTGACCTATTTGTTAACATACAAATAGTTAACAGAGGTTAACAAAATTCTAGTTATACCTATTGATGATGCACCAGCAGGTACACAGTCCATATATGCTCTAGCTCAGCGTTTAAGAAACGTCAGCGCGTTACGCTAATCATGTAAACAAACACATTTTGCTGCTTGTTAGCCTGACCATGTTTAACTAATCTGGTACTGTAAACACATCGATACATGCTTTCTACACCAGACACGTATACCTAAAATGGCCTGCTCAGCTCAGCTGGCTGGTCAGGATAATGTACCAGGAGCAGTCAAGAGGATTGCTGAAGTGGGCGTGGCCTCTGGGGGGGGTCACATGTCATGAAGGCTCCGCCCCCATGGTTGCTCGACAGGACCTGGCGACAGCTGGCTCATAGCAGCGGCCGCCACCCACATAGCTGTGCAGAGGATGTGCAGCCAGATTGGCTTCCTAAGCTGAAGTCCTGCTGTAGATCAGCTGGAATCCTGCGGAGTCTGTCGCAGATGTCAGACCAGCATCCATACCGGCAGCCGCTACAGATCGAGCGTTTACTGTAGAAACAGTGTAACGGTGAAGCTTCTGGACTGCAGTGGCCTGTTACTCTGCAGGAGGAGAGCTGGGGCGGGGGGGGTGGGTGTGGTGCTTTCATACATTCAGAATTACAGTTTCCATGGCACTGCAAGAGGTGGACTGTTAGTGTCTTACTGCGTGTCAAACGGCATTAATAAACGCTGCTCTGAAGTAATCAAAGACCGGTCACCTGACTGCAGCAAATGGCTGTCAGCTAAAGGTCCCATTTACCCCACAACCCCCTCTAGCCACAGATGCCCCAGGAGAGCCCCTGCTGTCACAGTGACAGACTCACCATCTGCAAGCTGTTCTCCAGCTCCTGGTGGGTGGAGGAGGTGAAGGTGTGGATCTGTGTGAGGTGGACCTGCAGACAAGTGGCTACCACGAAGGCCGTTACTATGGAAACCCGTCCCCGTCTAGACATACAAGATACGCACTCACATACACACGTATGCAAGTACCTACACAGTACTGTGCAAAGGTCAAAGAAATTGACATTTAAATGATCTTCAAGTTGGTGAAAAAATATATATTTTGTCTGTCAAAGTGTGTCAGCTTAGCCAATTAAAAACCTCTCAGAAAATCACCCCAGTATTTGCAGCGACCGTCCGATAAAGCCATGTATTTTTTGACTTGCCCCCTAACCCCACCTCATATGGCTAATCAGTACGTCACGGACTAACTAATTCACTTAATTCACTTGCATTTTCTGACTCGGCCATTAGCGTACCTTAAATAGCTGATCAATACCTCATTGACTTTTTAAACTAATTACATTTATTAATTAAGAGAGTCGGTGAAGAAATGTAACGAATCCATGGAACGGCTGAGGTGCCGCTGAAGAGAGGTTTGGGAACTAAAGCGGTGTTCATCTAGCCATCCAGCTAGATATCAGTAACTTTTTGGAGAACGACAGAAATTCCTGTTTGTTTTTTATCGAGTTACTGTTAATTTGCATATGTCCTAATGTTAAACTGTGTTTTGAGCGAATATACATTTTCTATCCAGAGAAGTTGCTTTGAACATTTCCTGCCTAAGATTTTTGCACAGTGCTGTACATAGTGTCACACAGACAGACATGTTCTGATGGACATGCTCACACATGGACACACACATGCAGATATAAATCAACATATAACTAAGGCTTTAATTTGGGAGCCAGAAATCTGTTTTGGGTCATGAACGTAATGATTCTTTTATCAGCTGTATGACGAGGGACCAGCAGAAACAGATGGCATCTGCCTGGAGTCAAATGTCTCTTCCATGCATAAGAATAAAGCCAGGAGATAAAGTTTGGATGGTTCTGCCTTGGTATATGAACTCGATGCCTGCTCAGATAGTGCTAGCCAGTGATGGACAAAATGGACAATTCATGAACCATTTGCTGTTTTTTTTACCCCACTAGATGGTGCTCTTGGTTTAAAAAAATGACACAAAGCATGCCCCAAAGCAAACCGAAAGCACCATCTAGAGCAGGGGTGTCAAACTGCAGTCCTGGGGGGCCGCAGCCCTGTGTAGCTTAGTTCCTTCCCTGTTCCACCACAAATGATTCAGCTCAACAGCTATGTGGTAATTATCACAAGAAGTTGAATCAGGTGTGTTAAACGAGGGGAAACCCAAAAATGTGCAGGGCTCCGGCCCCCCAGGACTGGAGTCTGACACCTGTGTTCTAGAGCAGTGGTTCTCAAACTTTTTCAGCAGGAGGCCCCCTTGTGTAGGGTGAATCCTTTTGTGGCCCCCCTCCTCAAAAAAAAAATCATGACGGAAAACTGTCACGCCCAGCTCCGTACGATCCTCGTGTGTGCTACGCCCCCTCATTACCTCGTGTCAAGTCCTGATTGTGATCACCTGTGTCCTGTTATTTCTGGCTAGTCTTGTGCATTTAGTCCGCGTCTGAGTACGTCTCGTCAGATCCGTCATTGTATTGTCTGTTAATGTCCATGCCTGTGTCTCCTTTCGTTACAATTAAAACTCGTTTACCCGTATCTCCGGCTGATCTCGCCTGCTTCCCGGCTCGCCTGCCTGCCGACGAAACAAAAACATCCTCAAACTTACAATTTTACTTAATTTTAGATTTTAGATTCTGTTTGTAGTCTTTATTTCTCTGGTTTGTTAAATTTACATTTCACAAAATATAACACTGTATTAAAACAGTTTTGACAGTAAAAGTAACATTGTCTGAAAAGTGCAACATGTACTGAATACTGAACATTAATTTAGGATGTCCATAGCAGCGTTGTGTGCTACGTAAAATTTATATTTACATTTTTTTTATACTTCTATTATTATTTTTTTTAAATACATTATATTTTACATAGGTTGACAAGCCTGATTTACATACAGGTAATTTTTTTTTTTAGATTCTACAATTTCGATGCGGCCCCCCTAGCGCCATCTGGTGGCCCCCCAGGGGGCCGCGGCCCCCAGTTTGAGAACCACTGTTCTAGAGGGCTCAAAAAATACAGCAAATGGTTCATGAGGCATCATTTAGACCATAATTAATACTAGCAAGAGTAGCAGCAGATACAGTGATCATTTTAATCACACCCACCCACCCTCTAACCACTCATCATGGTGGGGGACCTGAAGCAGATGCCGGGCAGTGTATAGGGCACAATGATGGGGTACATACACAAAAGTGTTCTGAGGGCAGAATGAATAAATGATTGGTTCAGAGAAATAACCAATCAGATTGTAGAGGAGATGGGCCCAAACAACTAGATGACTTTAGTTGTTTGAGCCCACCTTCTCTACATTCTGATTGGTTATCACTCTGAACAAGTCATTTTTTTCATTCTGCCCTCAGAAAACTTTTGTGTAAGTAAAACTCCCACAAGCTCAGTTCTGAGTCCATAGATGAAGAAAACCATGCATTAGCATCTTAGCTAGTTCCTTTCCTTAATTAACTGAGGATGAGTAGGTAGCTTAATGACACCAAGATGGCTTCCAAATGGAACTGCTTTTGTTCCCTTAAAAATTTTTTAAAAACCATCTTAATGAGGCATATACATTTCAATACTGTGAAAATGTAAGCTTACTTTCAGTAGTGGATTTTCCCGTCAATCAAATTCACCTCATCAAATGCTGCTCACAGAGCCAGCTATTACTCTGTTTCTGTTGGCTACTACATGTGGCTAACAAGGCAAAACATTCAAATTACAGGGCCTGAATTCACCCCGGGGGACTACCACCATGTTTAGATTTCCAGTTAGTCATCCCTTCAGCCCTCACGCCGAAGCAGCAGTTGGCATACCTTCTAGAAACATCCATCTCGCCGATGTGCCTGAACACAGTGATGAAGCGGGAGAGCTTGCTCGTCGGCCCCGTCCTCCAACATTCCTCTGGTCCACTTTCCTTTGCCAGGTTATCACAGAACTCGGCAAGCTTTTAGCTGAAAGGACGAACCTGAGAACGGTGCCCGTTTCAGTCGTGCTGACGTCTGCTGCTGTTTGGTCCGGGGGATTCAGGTTCTCAGCACAGTTCATGGGATTTGCAGAGAGACTTTGCCTCTTTGTCGCTGACCACTGGGGTCAAAGTCTGACAAAAGATATTAAATAGCAAAAAGAAATAAAAAATACATTTGTATTAAGCTATAAATTTAAATTTAAATCAATGCAATTTCAACCACTCACTGAGTCACAGCACCTCCCCAAATTAATCATTATGACAATAATATATTAAAAGCTTATGCTAATTTATTTTTTGCTAAATGCCTCACTGTCGCCACCTGGTGGCAAAATAACATTCAACTGGCATTAGTAGAGAAACGGTAATCAAATCTGCTTTCAAAATAAATAATTTTGTATTTAATAACTGAATAATACAATAGAAAACAAGCACTATAATGATTTGGGGGAAAAGGCTGATTGATGAAATGACAAGATAAAAAGTACTGGGAGACTTTCTACCCTTCAGTCTGTAGCAAAATCCCAATGTCAGAACTTTAGTTGACTTGGCACATTTTCAACTCCTAGACCATGCAACCTTGACAGAAATTGTTCAACACCTTAGTCCTACTGCCTGCTGCCTCAACACTCTGTTTTTTAACTATATACCTGCAAAAGTTTTCAGTCAGGCCTTTTCCAAGGGCCCTGAAGACCACAATTATCAAACCTCTTTTTAGAAAGTCCAGCCTACATGCCTCAGTAATAAGTAACTACAGGCCTACATCAAACCTACCTTTATACAAAAGATCATCGGAAAGGTTGTTTTTCAGCAACATAGTTCTTTCATGATGCAAAAACAATTAATGTTTTCTACTATTGAGTTTGACCACACCAAAGCACCAAGACTGCACTTATTATGGTCAATGACATTCGTCTAAGCAGTGATGAATCAAAGACCTCAGTTTTGGTATTACTGGATCTCATTGCTGTGTTTCACATGGTTGACCATAAGATACTGCTAGACAGACTAGAAAAGTAGGTGGAAATTTCTGGCACCGTGTTAAATTGTTTTGAATCAAATTTACAAGATAGGGACTACTTTGTGTCAAAAGATAATTAAATGAATCTGGGTAAATAAAAATCACATGTGGCTTTTCCTCAAGAGTCCATTCTTGGGTCTCTTCTGTTCAACATCTACATGCTCCCCCTCGTTCAGATTATGGAACATTATAGCATCTCACCATAATTACGCAGATGACACACAACTATGCACTACAGTTTCACTATGTGACTATAGTCCCTCAGAGTTACTGAATATATGCATTTGACAAATTAAATCACATGTATGTGCCAGAATTTTCTACAATTGAACACAGAAAAAACCTGAAAGACTGAAAGTCATTGCTCACCTTGAATCCATGATGACAAAACCTACAAATCAAGCCAGAAATCTTTGTGTAATTCTGGACTCTGACCTTAATTTCAACAGCCACATAAAGACAATTACAAAATCAACCTACCACCACCTTAAAAAGACAGCAAGAATTAAAGGATTTCTGTCTAAACAAGATACAGAAAAGCTTGTTCATGCATTTGTTTTTAGCAGCCTAGACTATTGAAATGGTGTCTTCACAGGTCTTGGTAATAAATCAGTCAGACAGCTGCAGCTCATCCAGAATGCTGCCAGCAGAGTCCTCACTAACACCAAGGAAGTAGAGCATATTACACCGGTCCTTAAATCACTGCACTGCCTTCCTGTGCATTATAAGACTGATTTTTAAGTATTACTACTTGTGTACAATATACTAAATGGTCTCCGGCCCAAATACTTTTCTGATTTCCTTGATCATTATGAAGCATCCAGATCCCTGAAGTCATCTGGAAAAATTTACTCAGTGTTCCCAGAATCATGACCAAGCATGAGGCAGCTTTTGTGGAACAAGCTTCCTGAAGACCTGAAGTCTGCTAACACAGTCAGCTCATTATAATCAGGGCTTAAAACGTTACTGTCTGCTGCAGCTTTTCAATAAATTATATCAGTTCAATCATACACTGTCACTACAATGTGAATTTTTAGTTAGCTATTTATTTGTTTGGCTTTTAGGCTTTTTTGTCTTTTAATTGTGATTTACATTTTTTTTTATTTAAATGTGTCCTTCTACTTTTGTAAAGTATTTTTCAATTGCCTTGCGTCTCTATTGCGCTATATAAACAAACTTGCCTTGCCTTACCATGGCCTGCAAACATAAAAGGCCTGCCCATGTTCAAGATGCAACTCTCGGCCACCATTTGAGCAAAAGAAAGGTTCGACTCTGTTTAATAAAACAAATGGCAACTAGGAATAATCTCTAAGTGGGACGGACAGAATGAGGCAAAGAATATTTTTCATCGGAATGAAAAAGATCCTTAGTATAAGCTGATCTACCTCAAGGAGTATCAAAGTTACGGATAAGGGGTTATTTCATGACACACACAAAAAAAACCTCAGTGAATGGTGCTTCTTCACATTTATGATCAGGTTCTCCAGTGTCATGACAGGAAATGATGCAATTTTCTTTCTCACAACTTCCTGTGAGAACGACTTATCTGTCGTACATAAGCCATAAGAAAAATCAAGACCTCGCCCCCCACACAGACCACACCTACACACAGCAGAACAGACCTCAGCCCCTGGGTCCATAAAAAGGCCACACCAACGTCAACAAAACTTCCCAGACAGGCTTCCTGTCAACTGAAAATCATAATTCAAGTCGTCAGTTGCAATATTGTTTTGATCATATGTAGGCTTCCTAATAAAGCTTTTAAAAACAAAAAAAGGGAAGCAAATGGGTAAAAAAACATGGGACACCTGTGCAGACAGACACAGATGTTTGTATTACCGTCTGCCATGAAATTGCATTGACGGCATTAATGATTCCAAACATATTTCCAACTAAAGTCACAACAGCTAAAACTGACTAACAAAAAGTTTCACCCCCCCCCCCCCGATCATTACCAAGATAAGTATTTGGGAATTTGGCAGAAGGACGGATTACATGTTACAGGAAAAACATGGCAAGCATCTATGTGACACTAAACCAAATACAAAACCACCTAATTAACAAGCGAAATGGCTTCACTTCACACAAGTTAAACCTGCAAGATAAAAAGGACCAGTTTCACTTGTTTTGTTCCATCTGAGTAAACTTCCTCCAGTTCTATTCGACACAAACCAGCAAGCTGATGGTGGTAGTTGTCCTTCCCAGTGGATTGCCTTTTCTCTAGGGTCTTCCCCAAACCTACTTTTTTAAGCTTGCTTATTCTCTATAATATATTAATTCAAACTTGTATTTTATTTTAATTTATTTTATATTATGACTGTTGATTAATGTAATTGTATGGGGTCCTTGAGTGTTTTGAAAGGCACTATAAATAAAATGTATTATTATTATTATTACCTATAGCTGCACACAGGAAAGAAAACAAGCTTAGCACTATGGGAAGCATGATCTCCAATAAGACAATAACTGGCACTATATGTGGTTGTGATTACTGGGCCGTTCCTGGCATTTTGAAGGGAAGAGGATTCGAGAATATTCTAAAGTGAGCGCGAACTTGTCTTTGAACATATAAAACAGTCCTTGATCCTTTCATTCTTTAGGAGGAAAAACACTCAGTGCTTGAGATATTTAACAGAGAATTTGATTAAGGCTGCTATGGATCAGCTGTCCGCTCTGTCAGGTCCAGGACGTTACAGCCAGCAGAGCAGGTGGCATCTGAAGAATGTCTCCCAAGGCTCTGGCACACGCGTGATGTCACAAGAGGGTAGAGTGACCCAGGGTCGCAGTCTGGGTCCATGCACCACACATGGCAATAATCACTCAGCTATACCCGTCAGAGAAGAACTGACTGCTGCCGTTTTTGTGTTTTCCAGCTGCTGCTTTTAACCAAAATGACTAACGATCTCACAGCAAAATCCATCTGTGACCTTATCATCTTATTTATTGTCATAGAGAAAAAAAAAATCAATTGTCATCATAATCATCAGCAACCAGAACTGCACCGGTTGTGTGCGTCATGGTAGTGGCTATCCAAATTTCTCTAACAAGTAGCTGATTATACGAAACTGGATAGGTCGCAAGGGAAACGTTATCCAAATATAATGCTTAGTACTTAGCTTTGTGGACCATTAGTAATGCAGAAAGGTTGTCACAGAACGCCGTTCAGTCAGACTCTGCTGCTCGCTCAAATAAATGTTTGTTTATAATTTCAATGAAGCTGGTTATCAAATATGGATATCCTTAAAATGAAAGTCCATTATAGCTTACAGTATCACCTGGCTTTACAAGCTTCGAAAATACAAAAAAGGAGATAGGCTGATTCGTTAGTACCAAGGTATACAGTGTTTTCCACTAGCTTTCTAGTCATGAAGTTCAACACAAAGCAGAGCACAAGAGAAGCCCTTTAAAACAGCAGAAAACATCTGATGGAATTTGCATACCTTAGCATGTAACATAATAGTTACAAAAACTGAAATTTCTATGACACAAATTGGGTGATCTTCATACCCGACAAAGATGATGCCATTTGATCAGTTTGAGTAAGAAATAATGGATACATTTAGAATGGATACCAGATACATGCATACTGGACATGCAGATCATCTGATTCTGTTACAATGTTTAACTATGTCAAGATTAGTGTAAATATCATAATTATTACTATGATATTGTGATTTATAGGTGATGTGAAGGATAATTTTAAATGAACTAATTATATTTCCCTTCCACTGTTTTTTGTTCTCATTACCTCCACTAATTAGTTAAAAAAAAAACGGTTCCAGACATACCACTAGAGGGCACCATAAACACGCTCAGACACAAGGGCGAGACGGCGAGGAAAAAAGACTTCATAAACAAAATGTGTGGTGATGATAAAATCATAACGACTGTGATTCCACGCAATTGTCCCCACAGGCAAGAGAATGTCGGTAACATTTCATTATTTTTCACTCTTTAATCATTCAACCACAACTGTTGCAATATAGTCATACTTGCAAAGGTAAGGTGGCACTCTGCTTTTTGGCCCAATTATTAAATCAAACAAAATACAAAACGTGATCATTTTATTGAGTCGTAGGTAGTTGGTTTAATCAGTCGTATTATTAACAATAAAAAAAACATTTGCAATAATCTTGGTTCATCTTTGTAAAAAATGATTTTTTTTAACTTGCATTGGGCAAATATGTTTAATATTTGGTTGTGTCGAGTGGAAATGAGTGGAAACATGATTTTACATGTTAATTCCACAGTGTGTGCATAAAAAAGACCTTTTAGGTTTGCATGGAGGATCCCTGAGCTTACTCACCTCTAATTCATTTTTACATGATTTGTCATTGATTACATTTCTGTTGTGCAACAGGTCATGCACTCACGGTGCCTCAACATTTCCTCTGCGGGCTTAAGTTATCATCAGCTCCATTGGTGTAGTTTCCTCAGTACTTGCCTTGCTGAGACATGTATCCACGTTGGGGGGCCTGCTTTTCAAAGTGGAAACTACTGTCCGCTGCAGGCAAATGCAGACGGTCACAGGCAAACCCGCATACCGAATCCTACAAAGTAATGTGAACAAAGTGCATACTGAGGTGGGCCACAGGATTGATTACACATCTGCCGCCATGTGAAAATCATTGAACGGTCTTCCGGATGGTATACGGCTGACAAGATCACCATACCGTCCACCTACAATCTGGGAACTAGCACTATTTCACGTTGATCTCTAAAAAGCAGATCGCAATGCTGCTATACTGGGAATAGATATGCATTCAGTTACATGGAGTTGCCATTCCACCAACACCAACTATACACAGAAACTGAAAGGCTTTCACGGGGTCCTGCCTTTTAATTCATTTCTCGCTTGCGGTCGTCCTTACATTGTATCCTATCTTTTACCCGATTTTAGTTACAGTTAAATGACGAACGTACGTTAAAAAAAACGTGTAACGCCGGCTGTAACCCTGGGAAACCGAGAACTACAAAAAGAAAAAAAAAGTCGGAGAAAGTACATACCAATCTATTCAGTTGTAATAATACAATTTTCTGGCCGTGCGCATAGCAAATGGAAATACTTGGTTTAGTGCTGGTATAAAGTACCGATTCGATGCCGCGGTTTGAAAGCGGCCGCCGCGGGAGCCCCGCCCCGGTGTGGGACGTTGGCCCGGCGGGGCGCTATGTTAGGCAGAGCCGCGGGAGAAGCTCGTCGACATTTTTACACGGCATCATCAGAGCTGACGTGGAGACTACGTGTGCAGCGGATCGGGCCATCCACCCCTACCGTAATCAGTGACGAGCCCCACTACGTAAAAAAAACCTCGGTAAGTTATTGCGCTCATTCCCGAGAACAAGAGGGACGCTCTTAAGGGGGAAAATACAGAGAAAACACGGGGAAGCTCTCTGGTGGCCGTTGGCCTCTCAGATCTGACCAATATGTTTAGCCGATTAACTGGATGACAAATTATTAATAGCGGGATAAAACGTTTAGCTGGTCAAATAACAACTGTCAACAGTGGGTTTAATAAATAGATTTATTGTCAGGCGCTTCAAAACGACTTCTTGCAAAATGTGCTTTAAGCATTATTCCACAACTTGGTGTTTATTTGCTGTCGCTAAAGATAAGTAATTAGATTCGTAGCTTTGCAGGGCAACTGGCTAAGTTAACAATAATGCAATGCAAGAATATTATTTTATACATTCGTACCGCCCCTTGGAATAAACCCCAGACACTGTAGCCTATAATAACTTTCGTCATGTAATAATTAGGTATTCGCATTTCTTACGCATTTTAAACACTGTATTTGCCCGCTGTTTGAAATCAACACGAAATGTGAGAACTTTTTGGAGTTTTAAAAAACAAATGCGAGCGGCACTTTTGCTCCACGCTGATTGCGCGCCTGTTGCAGTTTATTTGCGACTTCCGTCCGCGGCGGTGCGGTTGTATCATTGCAATTTTGTAACATTGCGACTCGATCTGTTATAATTATAGCGATCGCTGAGTGACTTATCGGCTAATCGTTGATGCGGTGTGGGTCGCTGCCGTGGGCGTTGGATGAGAGGGGCTTGGTTGTTTTTTTTTTTTTTTTTTTAAACGGTGGCTGTGGTTGGAACGGCAGTGCCGCGAGGATCACCGGCGACGCCGGGATGGGGGACCAGGGACCCGGGATCGGTGTACCAAACCGTCCCGCTAGCCAGGGTTTGCTGAAACTACACAGTCTGTTAAAATGAGAGTAACAGGCGGCGAACGGCCATGTGCATTGATGTGTGCGTGGCTGTATTAAACGATGACTTGATATTACACGCTTTCAGACGCAATCGTGTCAAATTCCAGATTTTATTATTAAAAAGCATTTAGTTGCGTATTAAATAGACCTGCAAAACACGGTACATCTGCACCCATGTAAAGTTTCTTTCATGTAATTAGAATAGCCTACATGTAAATCAAAGTTTGTCTTGCTTCAACATTTCCGTGTTAAAAAAGTTTCCAGCAGGGCGTACAGTCAAAACAAGCAGACGGATCGGGATCGTGTAGATTATTCAATAATTAACTATCTAAAGAAAGGGGGCTTCCTATTCGGTGGCCTAGCCAGGAGCGTGCCCGTAACCCTAATCAGTGAAGTTTTAGAAAGCCGACTTTTTAGAATTTGTCTTATTTAAAATGGCGTCAGTTGTTTAGAAGGTTCTAGAAATGGCGCACAAACGCGTCCCCTCCCTTTACTTCGAAATCGACGACGCCCTGCGGCTGCCGTTGCGCTTTTTCATGTAGGCAGGCTGGTTTTCACACACAACCCCCCCCCCTCCTGATATTTCGTGGCAAGTCGCCGCATGTCGGACTCCTACGTGAGATAAAGCGCAGCATTAAACCCCCACAGTCTTGCTTGTGATCATCTGGAGCAAAAAGCTACAAAAGAATTGTAACATTTCCTTCTCTATCTCAATTATACATCGCTGTTTTCATCAATGGAATTGCTGTTAATGTCAACAAAACATGCATTTATTTTGAAATGTATGGGTCTTTGAATATTTTTGAGCATTTGAAATGATTTACCATTTTAGAAACTGCAGTGATACACTTTTAATTATGTGCATTTTTAAAAATTTTGCGGGAGATCACAACCCTAAATACTAATTTGCTAAAACTTTCTGGAACACTTTAAAATTTGTTAGTTATTGACCATATTTTAGCTGCTCTCTACTGTCAGTTACGAATGTTACATAAACTTAGAGTATTAACCGTTGGATTGCCATAATATCAAATTAACTGGTAGGCCTGCAATTTAAATGTTCATTGCATGGCTCACATATGCCTACACATTCATAGTGTGCCTAAGATATTATTTCTCCCTGCCTGTTCAAAGAACTTTATATATAAATATCTTATTTCATATCAGACAACAAAGGTTCACATCAAAAACCACACAAAACAAATAATAATAATAATAAATAAAGATAAGAATATACTCAGCGCAAATGACCTTTCAGTCTCTTCAGTGACCTTTAATGTAGTGTCATGCAACAAATGAGCAAAACGGAAACAATGACCTACGTGTCATTACATCATTCACCTTGAGTATTTCCAGGAGATCATTCCAAGTTTTTTCTTTTTCTTTTAACCTTTATCCATTTGCACCAGACAGAGGGGAATTTTACATCTTATGTGTGTTGCCTATATATCACTCTTTTCATATTCCCCCCCCCCCCCTGAAATCATAATAAACACAGTTTTCCTTATAATGCATTTATGAAAATGTAAAGAAATGGAGTGAAGGTTTGCTGTTTTTCCTTTGTGTTTGTGCCGTAACCTTCTATGCAAATAAAAATGGCCAAGCTGAAACGGTGAATGTGGGGAATTTAATCATTCATCTTTGCTGCTTTTGACTCGTGTGTCATATCTGTATTACCTATAGGTGGAATGTGAGCCAGTGTTTAATGGACGGGTGCATGGATGTATCTTTCACTTTTGGCTATTCATTAAATTTTACTTTGTACTACATATATAAATACATGCTGACATCACAAAATCTGTTCAGCAGTTATGCTTAAGTGATTTTTTCTTTTGTTTAGTTTTTGTTTACGCTGGTTTCAGGCTTAATTAGGCAGATGTAAATTTCAGGTCCAGAAAGTCAAAATCCAGACCAAGATTTTGTTTCAACCAACCAGTTGAGTACTCTGTGACCGTGACTCTTTATGCTCAACTGCTTGGCTGAAACAAAACCTTGGTCTGGATTTTTACTTTCTGGACCTGATATTTACACTCAATTATGTTTTCAATTACAAAATACTTTTTTGGCTATAAAAGTTTTGTTAATGAGAAATAATCTCCTATAATTTTGTTTTGTTTTTTTTTTTTTTATTCAATTTTAGTTATGTTTGTGATTAATTACTGGGTATCAATTAAGTGCCTAAAGCAATTAAGGTGAATGTTAGTAGGTGCGATTAGATGAGAGACGAAAATCAACTGAGTCCAATTAAAATGAAGCTTCGCATTTGAAGTGCAAGGATCTAATTATGTTTTCCTAATAGTATTTGTGTTTTAGAATGCTAGGTGTGTCCTTTTATTACTATGAAGTGCTCATTCAGTGTAGCGAACAGCCGGCCGTTCGCTATTCCTCCAGGACCCGGCCCGAGATCCACCCAGTGTTATTCTTAAGGAAGTTGCCGGAATTATGAATGTATGTATGGACATTCGATGCGGCAGAGGATATGACCTGCGCACTGTTCCTCCTGGGGGGGGGACATGTGTGTTCTCTGTGCTCTTTCCAGACGAGTAGCCATGGAAACCATGGTTGCATCTCAGCAGGATGCAAGTGTGAACGACTCTTTGTCTGACGGAGAAGTGATTCGGATTAAGAATGAGTCCGGCTCGTCCTCGCTGGCACAGGTAAAGGGCCCCGCACCTCGTGGGGTTGGGGAAGGCGGCATTTCCGTCAGTCGCCTTGGCCCAGGTGGTTCTTGGTTCCGGTCCCCTTTATAGCCTCAGGATGCATATAAAAATGAACCTGATTCCATTTGCTTAACTGGAACAGAATGACAATATGGATTGTGGGTTATATTCCATGAGCAGGGGGGCCATTAAGGGGGGGCAGTTCATCTGGAGAACTATGTATTGCTTTCCATGTAGATAACATCTGGAGTTGTATCGATATTATGGGATGTCTGTTTTGTGGGAGTGGTGCTCCGTGATTTTAAATGTAAAAATTATATATAGGCAGTCATTCTGACCTCGCCTGAATCAGATCTTCGCTTTGTATAATTTTCACAGATCTGTAAATATCATGTGATCAGCTTTGAGATGGTAGATCGTGGATATGGTCTAGAACGGGGCTCCTAAAGGTCCGAGCACCGCCGGTCTTCCAGCCTTGCTTTACTTGTGAACCAGGTGTGAAGCCTCAGGCCAATCAGAATCAGGAATTATTAAACTAACTGCCTGCCTGGGAGAACTGAAAACAAGGCCTGGATTTGGAGTCGAGGTCCAGATTTGGAGAAGCCTGGTCTAGAACTTGGCATGAAATTAAGATGGAAGATTCTGTTCTTCAGCAGAGCACTGACTGTGTATCTTTGGGTAATTAATGACTAATAGAATGGCATGGGGTCTTATTGGGTAGCATTGTCGTCTGTCTGCAATTACCACTGTTCCTCCCTGATCCTGCTTGAGTTAGTGGACGACGTTGCCATTGGTAATAATGACAGTTTTTATTCGAAGACCTCTGTAGGTGGGGAAGGAGGAACAGGAGCGCCCTCTGCAGTCACTGTGGTGCAACTGTCGGGGGGACAGACGCTGCACGTCCAGGGTGTCATCCAGGCCCCCCAGGCTTCTGTTATACAGTCCCCCCACATCCAGAACATGCAGGTAAGGCACTGATGTGAAGCCCATCCACGGCCTTCAGGGCCTGCGGAAGCCCTACCTTTGTGGGTCAAAACGAGCAACGAGAACCTTGATTGGATTTGAAGGGATTTGTCTCTAAGCCCGTCGGGTTTGACCTTCACACCTTGGGTTTGCTCTGTCGTCTTCGGCGCCCTCTGCAGGAGGGTTTGGAGTCTCTGCCTAAAATCGCCCGCTGAGCCGGGCGCCGGCCAAGGCATGCCTGACGGTGATGTCATGATGAGGTCACCAGCCCGTCAGGCTTGACTCATGCCGCAGCCGCTGCGATGTTTCTCCTGCACAGGTGGTTGCAGTGGCGGCGTCTGAAGACGGGGAGACGGCGGAGGTGGCGAGAGACACGCAGAAGAGGAGGGAGATTCTCACAAGGCGTCCGTCTTATAGGTGGGGCGAGCTCGTCCTTCAAACATATAAATCACCTGCGGGCTGTGTCAACATTTTTGACGTGATTCGAATGTTGCTCATAACTTGAAGTCGAGTGGAGAAGAAAACAATGTATTTATTTATTTGTGAAATTTTGCCAGTGCAGTTTAGCCAGTTCAGAGAAGTACATTAACCAAAGAACATCTCCAGAGAGACAGAGTCAATAGAAGGTCAAATGAAGTTGTATTTAACTGCTTCCGAGCTCATATGCATAAATCTATATGGGTTATAGGGGTCTTTAGGATGCAGTTTGAATGGTCAAAGGTTCTGGACCGAGAGCAGTAGGGATGTCACAGCTATTAGGGTTGAGTGGAGCTCGAAGATGCTCCAGTAGACAGGAGACCTATGACATCATGATTCCTGACCTTTCAGTACTGTAACAGGTGACTTTTTCTCCTTATAGAACATAAGGAGAGAGATTTTGTTGTGGTTTAGGGCTTGGTGAGAGCTGGTGGTTATTGCTGCTCTGTCCTGGACTCCCTAGTATGACGGTCTTGAGTTTGACATCAGAAGGGGGAAGGCAGAAATTGCAATCTATATCGTAGTTGACGTCGTCATCGTTTTCCGCACGACTTGGAGAAGTTTGATGGAGGGAGAAAGAAGCCAGATAGGAGGGAGCTGCAGAGTTTCGGTGAAGGATGACCATGCCGTCGTCCAGCAGCTAAGTCCACAGCTTAGAGAGGTATTTCCAGATACCTCAGACTCCTTGTGGTGCAGATCTTCAGGACTCAATAACAGCTGCTGTCCAATAGAAAGAGTTCTTGTTTGCAAAGATGGTGCTATTGATGTCTTTAGTGTCTTGGTCAATCTACTAGCTTAGTGTTTCCCAAACTGGTCCTTGGGGACCCCCAGAGGGGGAACCCCCATGTTTTGGAAGGGGGCAAAAACATGGACCGTCTGTGGGTCTTCAATGACCGGGTTGGGGAGCACCGTCCTGGATTATATCACTCCACTCTCCCCTGATGCTCTTAGTGTTGCACTCTGTTTGCTGGTTTGAGTATCGTCCAGTTAGGTTCTTGCTTTGTCTGCGTGACTCTTATCCCAGTACTGCTTACGCCACTTACGTACCTGAGCATTCACTGACAGCCATATGTCTGCGATCCGCCGTTTGTCTCACTCGGAAGTCACGTTGGGCTACAGAAAGGAAATGTTAGTGTAACATGTACAGGGAAGAGATGGACTGCCGGGGATAAGGAGATTTCCAGCGATAGCGCAGTGCTCTGATTCCAGCCGGTGTCGGTATCAGGAGAATGAGATTTGCATAGCCAAAGGCCAGAGACCAGACGAACAGGATGAGATGCTGTGAAAGAAACAAAGGATATAGCCGAATTATACTTACTAACGAAAGCCAAGCAGTAGCAGAGTTACTGTTTGGAAATAAAAGCCTGACCTTTGCTGGACAGTCGGCACATAAACACCATGTGCATAAAGGTACTTTGCCATAAGGTGCGGAGATCAGCTTCAGATACAGGATGTTGCGGGTAGTACCTGTTCACCTTTCCAACAGGTACTAGGTACATCTTTTGAAGATGTTTTATTTGTACTTCTTCAGAGCAACGGTTGGGTGTGGTACGCTTCGCACTTTTGGGTAGGGCTAGCCGGTCACATGACCTGCGCCTCCTGCAGCATCAGGAAGCCTACACGGGTCGGCGCACAGCGCGTGTCCCATCCCGCCGCGGCTGGGTGACCGTGCCCTGGGATTTCGGGTATCGCCCTTCGCAGGAGGATATTCAATGATCTGTCGTCGGACGCGTCGGCCGTCCCGAAGATCGAGGAGAATCCAGAGGAGGACAGAGCTTCCCCCAGTGATCCCCAAGTATCGGCTGCCGCCTCCATCTACCAGACCAGCTCCGGACAGTATAGTGAGTCCCACAGGAAGTGACACGGGTTTCCACGGTATCACTGCAGAATCATGCTGTTGTGAAATCTAGATTTAAGAATATGTTAGTGGTTGATTTTGCTTTTAAATGTGGATTGTTTTGGGTAGCGGTCCAGGGCCCTCTACTGGAAGGATGGATGGATGGACTAATTGATGGATGAATGGATGGATGGATGTTTTGTGTGGCAACCAATTTTAGTGTCGGAGGTCATGGTATCGTCACAGTGTCATTTTCAGAAGTTCTACTCCCTGTGACTTCATAGTGACGGTCTAGTTTCTCTCCTGCAGTCGCCATTACTCAGGGAGGAGCGATCCAGATCGCTGGACCAGGCACCGACGGGCTCCAAGGCCTGCAGAGCCTCGCCATGTCCAACTCAACGGCGCCCCCACCTGGCACCACAATAGTGCAGTATGCGGCTCAGCCAGGGGACGGGACCCCACACCTCTTTGTGCCGGGCAGTCAGGTCGTTGTGCAAGGTAACAGTTCTCCTCTCTCCCGTGGGGCAGGTGCTCCAGCACGTCGAACCTCCAGATGATGCTTGTTAATGGGATTTGTTTGATTGGCACTGCACTAAGAACTCAATGGGTTTTAAGCTTGAAATTCATCCAGCAGGTTATTGAATCTCATTAACCTGTGCAGGAGGGGTTCACATCCTACTGACCATGATCTGCCAACCGTTGATATGATGTAATATAATGTAATATAATATAGTATGATAATATACATTCATGCATTGCTTAACGACAGGAATTTGTTCTGAGAAATGCATCGTTAAGTGACTTTATTGTTGTGCCCACATCATAGTGTCCCTGCACAAGCCTGGATGGTATAACCCTGCTATACCGCATAGACTAAATAACAATAAGAAGTACAGTATAGTAAATACATAACCCAGTAACGTAGATGTTTAGCATTATCAAGTATTATGTACTGTACATAACTGTATGTGCTACACTGGTATAGCAGTAGGTTTATTTACACCCGAATCACCACAATCAGAATCAGAATCAGAATCAGAAAAACTTTATTTATCCCGGAGGAAATTGCTCATGTTACTACAAACGGTCACACAGAGACACAGGACAAGAACATAAAAGAAAAAGAATATCAGATGTAAGTATAAGAACTAAAATAAAGTTATAAGAGACTCTGCGCTATATACCCATGATATATACAGAAACAGAAATACAATATATATAAATAGAATAAAT